CTAAATTGAATACTCATCAGCAAGTCACACTTTCAGTGAAAAATGCTGTAGATAGTTTAGGTGATAAAAGGATTGATCTTGAGACTGTGTATGGGTTTAAGCATTCGGTTGTGGATTCCTCAAAAACAGACACAGGAAATGCCACTGTGTGCCTTGAAGTCAAGGGCTCGGATGTCGTACCCAATGACATCATGATAGTTCAGAGTGAAGATGTTTGTAGCAAGGCTGAGAAAACGTTTAAAGAGGACTCATCAGCTGATTGTATCTGGTGCGAAGAAGCCACACCTGGTCTTGAAGGTGACAGAATTATAAGTCCCAAGATACCCAATGAATTTCAATCATCTACCATTACATTTAATACGTCAGAACATCAGCCCAATACGTGTTACCCTCATAGAAATACACCCACTAATTACATTGATGAAGATTGGGATGGTGAAGGTATAGTTAACATACCTGGCAATGATATACTAAGCGAGGCAGATGATGCTTCTCAGGGTATTAATGATGGTGAAAAGGTCGTCTCATGCAATTCAGTGAAAGAAATTTGTAACTTGCAGTTTAAAGAAGCAGATGTCAAAGTATCAAAACCAGCTAATGTTGAGAAAGTTGTGGAGCATGATGACAGCTTACCTGTGACGAGAAGGAACACAGTGGGCAGTGGGCCTTGCAAGGGGACTACTATGCGACCTGTTGATCTTGTGGATGACTTTGCTGCTAAAGTGGTGGCTGCAGCATTTGCTAGTACATATGATATCATCAAGCACACCTGACATTAGGAACATTATGACACATGATTCATCAACATATTTCCTGTGTGAATTTTCCTTGAGTTGCTTTGTAGAGAAAACTATACATAGACTTTGTTGGGCTTCCTTGAATTATTTTTCCTTTATTTAAGGTAGTTCAAGATAAAATAGTTTAAAATAGTGTATCTTTATTTGACACTTGCTGATATAATTGACATTTTCTAGGTTTAAGAATCTGTGATCACTGATTCCATTTGCTTATATTTTAAATTATAAATAAGACCCACAAATATGAAACCTTATGCATACTTTGTTTTAAAGATTTGAAACAATTACTACCATGTTTTGTGCAATCTG